TTTATCAACCATTTATGATGAATTAAAATTTATGATAAAATTTCCAAAACTTTGAAATATGTTGCCCGAGTGTCAGTGGTTTCTGTGGGATGGGGTACACGACTGGTTATAAGTTGAATTACATTTTCTCTTTGTTAATCTGATCTTACTCTGGGTATTTTAACTAGAGTAAGCATGCTAAGTGAATAATTATTATAAGCACTTGTGTCCCTTTCAAAATTGTGAATTTCATGGCCTCTGGTCTAGAACATGAACCAAAATCAGTTTTTGGAAAGTTGCTTCCGGAGCCCATAATACATATGCATGAATTACGATGAATCCAGAAATAATGAATTACGTGTATTTACTTTACATTTTCGATATTTCTCAATTATTTCTTTCTGTAGATAGGACTTGTGCACCTAGGACTTTGAGTGAAACGTGATGGATGTTTAAAGTACTTAATATACATGTACAAGTGTATATAGTTTTAATGCATATTCCATCGTGATATATGTATGCAATTATGCTTCTTTTTATTTATTAGTCGTTTTTTTTTTTCGATAAAAAGACCCCAAATAGATGTAGATGTTTCTCATAAGAGAATTAATTTTGAACAGCATGTAACAGGTCAGTTTAATGCACACGCAAATGAAGCTATACTTTTAAAGTATTTTTTTTTCAATATCGGTGCGCGATCATTTTATTCAGTGATAATGCAAATAATTTACGTATTAGATTACCATTTGTCTTTATTAATCTCGTTTTTAATATTAAAGTACACTCTTAATAGAATATAGAGATTTTTGCTTATTAATATTTTCTATTCAAATTGAAATATAATAAACGCAATACATTTAGGTCTACGTCATGTTTTGAAAAAGTCGTAAAAGGCAGTATATGTATTTCATATGTAAGAATTAAAGTGTTGCATTGATTTTTTTTTTCATGCAAATAATTTTTTATTGTAATATAACTGTGTACCTTTGGTCACGTTAATTTCAAAGTGAACCTGGTCAGGCTGCAAAAGAATATCTTGTAGTTCAAAGTGCTCCCTCATCACTCGACTCGCATTGGGAGGCCATCGCACCTAACATCCGTCCACCTTCTAGAGCCGCCAATTGTCGAACCTTTGATGGTAGTCAGCACTTCTTTGACCCATGAGAAGAACAAGGATTTGTCACAGGATTAACTATTACAATGTTGGGTTTGCCACGATGCTTATGCTTTATAAAATCATATCGATGATGCTGAATCTTGGATTTCGCATGCTTATCCTCATCTTCCCTCACTCTCTTTCATCGGTAGATGGCTTCCTGGATGGAATCTGTAGCACCTGTTAATCTTTCCTTCTGCTGTTATAATATATATATCTGAAAACGGCTTTCACTATACAGTTAAAGTATATATGATGATGGAGTTAGCAAGATACCAGTTCGGCGAAGCCGAGGGAAATATTCCTGGCCGAGGGGAACAAGAGTCTTGCTTACTCTCGCAATGATGTATTTTTAACTGTTTTATTAAACGATACAGACGTTAAATTCAGGATTCGGCGTGATTTCAAAGCAGGGATTAGCTCACTGGTCGAACTTATGGATAATAGTCTAAATAACAGTTATGTAAAATATTGAGGATTAAGACCTGGGAATTAGCTTTCTAAGCAGGGATTAGCTCACATGAATAACGCTTGGAACTAGTCCATTCATAATGATTTCTATGGAATTAGTCATATCTAACGATCTTATATTATATGGGAAAAAATAAGCAGAAGTATAATGATTAAATTTAATATCGAAAGAAATTGGAATTTTTTTCTTAATAAGCAGATTGGAGGAAAGTGTTACAAGACTGTGAATGCAGCCATATCCTTGGAGAAAGATCAGGATTCTCTTGTAAAAAGGTTGGGTATTTTGCAAGAAATGAACAAAAGTGGTAATTGCAGAAAGAATTGCTTTATTTTCGTTATGAACACGGCAGCTTCTAGCAAGTGTCTGGTTCTTGTCAAAATACGTAACTGTATCAATCTGCTGCATCATCTACTGCTACTGTATCAAATGCTTGGTCTCCAAACCAAAATAAAAGGGTGCGGTAGTTAGCAGCAGGCACAGCTATTGAATTCACACTGCACTTCGACTACCAGAAAAGAAGTACGATAATAGGTTTTTGCTAAATAAGGAAAACATATGTTCCACACTAAAAATCAAGTTAAATATCTCTTTCTTTGAGAGTACATTGATATTTATACCAATGACTGCAAAGAAAAGTAAAAGAATAAAACTTTTTCTATCTTTTAACCAGTTTTCAGCACTTACTACCGAAAGAAATATATATTCGATACTTAAATAAAAACTGATGTCTATTAGATTTTTATAGCCATTGTTTGCACAAGAGGAACAAAGATATTTTTATTTTTCGGACAGTAGTTTTTCCTCGACTAGTTTGTTAATTATACAGTTTTAGGTCATCTGATTCACTCAGGTGACCTATTGCTATCCGTTTTCGTCTGTCGTCTTTGTCGTGTGTTAACATTTTCAGCTTCTTCCTTAAACCCACTCAACCAATTTCAACCAATTTTAGCATAGAGCACCTATGGGAAAGAGGAACACAACTAATTACAAATTTCATGGTAACTGCCCCCCTGGGACGTGAGGGGAGGGGCTAATACCACCAAAATTGATGCAATCATTACAAATCTTCTTAACTCCTGGTCATCAAGCAGTCGAACTGTTGGCATAATTGTAATAAGCATTGAACCCTCTAGCAAAATTGTGAAATGCATGGCCCAAGAGTCAGGTGTTCTGGTGCTAGTGTGGGTCACTATATGTCATATAGTGAAAGTACATTATTTCTTTGGAAATCTTCTTCTCTACTTCTAGGAATTATATAAACTAAGTACACAGTTATGATGGGCAAAATTGCATCTTTACAAATTGTTAATATTATGGTCACTGGGTAAGGATTTCTGTTCCAGTCTTTGAAAATGGTCTTTGAAAAGCTTCTTCTCTGCTCCTGAGTATTGAATAAACTAACCAAGTAAATAGTTATGATAAGCAAGAATGTCTCTTGTGGATGCTTCTTATGAGTTGAGTGATGGTAATGTGATCTTGGATGGAGCGGGTATACATGTAGCAGAAGGTGAGACAGGCACAGCAGAAGGTGAGACAGACACAACAAAAGCAGGAGCTGTAGATGAAGCCACCAAATAACAGGAACTGATGACACAGATGGTAATGGCAGAGATGCACGTGGTACTACCGTAGGGTGGCACTGGACAGATGATCAGGGAAGCTGGGGAAGTGGAAGAACCATAGGCCTTCTCTTACTCTCTCAGTATCTCCTGGACTCCTCGATGAACCACTGTTAAATCATTGAAAAAACAACCTTGCTCTTTGGCCGTATTTCCTCTAGACCCTGAAGCAAGTACATAGCTACTGAAGAAGCCTTGGAAAGGTGAATCTTGACCACTTTATATGACTAATGAAGTTGGTATAGTTTTAGTGACTAAATTGGCATAAGATACACCGGTAGGGCTACTCGTCTATGATCAGGTGTTTGGAATAAACATGTTTCATGATCGTGTGTCTCTCTCCTCGATACGGGCAAACAACACAACTCGACAACTCGACACTCTGCCTCTTCTGCCGGCTGTGGTCATCAACGACATACTGCAAATTGATAAAGAGTAATACTCTGAAATAGAAACATGGAAATAACCATGTGATTTTTATTAACAATAATATAACATTATTATATACAAAAATATACTTTCTTAATAGTTATATGTAAATTCTAATCAGAAGAATGCCCCATTTATTTGAACCAATATTTAGACTTGCATCATGTAAATATAAACATTGCATCATGTAAATATAAACATTATAAACAGCATGACAGAGAATAAAAAATGATCAGTCTAATTTTCCTTTTTTTCTCCTTTCCATAGCAACTTTCCTGATCAATTTGGGTGGATCATCACCTCGATAAGGCAACAACTTTTTGTGGTTGACCACTCGACTCTTTCGTCTAGCATCAGACTGTCAATATTAGACAGTGACAATGGATTCCAGGGGTTACTTTTACAATAGGATACAGCACAACATAGTTCCTAAATGCTCAGAGTTATCTGTGCTTTGACAGATTGTCTGAAAAAAGATTTAGTGATGTGGATGAGAGAATTTTGAAATGTACACGAATTGCTGATTTTGGCAATTGGCCTCAAAACATTTGAAGATGCTGTTGGTGTGTGTTAATTAAATAATATTAACATATGATTTTTTTTCACCATGCTAATCATTAATCAATAATGCAGGTTTCTTAGTGAACTTTTTACTAGGAAATAGCTTCCTATTTATAATTTGTTTTATACTTAGTGAGATTTTCTCAGCTCGGTCGACTGTTCACTTATTGACCTTTTTAACAGCTGGCACATTATTTCCACTTCACTAATTAATGTATATACTGTATAACACTTGTATATAAAAAAAAAATAAATCTATATCAGACTTTGGAGATGAGTCTTTATCACAATTTGCTGATCATTATGAAGAAATGTTGAAAGCTGCTGGAGTAGAAACATCACACATTGAGTTAGAATGGACAAACCTTAATGAGCTGTTGTATGAAAAGTAAGTCATCGGCCACCTTTAATAATTAAAAAAAAAAGAAGAAAAAATTGTAATTTATGGAGTTCTCATGTAATTTGCCCATGATGTATCCAGTGATATATGCAATAAACAATTGAAAGTTTTCTTAAAAATTACTTTAGCCATACAGTATCCACCCTGACATGCCAGGAAATCAACTTTTCTATGAGAAATGTCCAAATATATTGGACCTCTTCCACCTGATTCTCTCAATACCAGCAGGGACATCAGAATTTCTCAAAAATGACAACAATGAAAACCAAGTACAGAAACAAGCTGAAGAGTATAACAATGACTATGCTCATGGCCAAAAAATCTACATTCTTCGGAAATTTGTGATTTTGACCCATCCATTACAGTTGATTTCTGGAATAAAAACGGATCCAGGAGACCAGAGTTTTTGCAAAGAAAGAAAAAGGGAATTTCATGTACCAGTAGTGCTGTTGTGTCTGAGATTTTTGAGGCATCATGTATCTGTGAAGGTGATGTTTAAGATCAGCCAAAAGGCAATCCTGAAGTTGAAATAGACGACTCTGATTTCTCCGATTTGAACGAAGATTCTGATGTAGAAAGTGAATATGTTGAACGATTCAAATTCAAATATGCAAGCAATTGTGAATAAAATCAGAAACTCAGCTTAACTTCTATTGTATGTTTTAATTTCAGATTAATCATTGAAAGGGGCTGGGTGGTTGTGCCCATACTATTTTGATCTCCTTTAGAAGAAGAGTTCCACATAAAGAAAAAGAAAAATGCTCAAATTTTAAAGCTAAAATATCTGAATTTTTTCTTTTCCAAATGATAGGATATCATATCTAAAATATTAAGTTATATCTGATGGTTAATTTTTTGACCCCAAACCTCTTTAAGCAATAAAGAGCACTTAGTCTGTACTCAGTACTCATAATATTTATTACATTTAACTGCGGGCTTGCTGGTTTTCATCAGGGCTGACAAAATTTTTGAGTAATCAGCCCTGCTGGTCCACCCGATTTTTCAAGAGTTTCGTACACTGATAGTGGATGGTAATGCCTCTCATTTTACACTTCATCTTTTTGAAGGAAGAAAGCCAATGATGTTGAAATATTCTGTTTACAGCCCAACAAAACGCATTGGACACATCCGCTTGGCAGAAGTGTTTTGGGCTTACTACAATCATTGCAAATCTTTTTTGAAATCCCGGCAATCAAACTTCCAGTTATGACTTCTACTGATTTTTGTCACATGCATATCATGTAAAAATGAACAAGGTAAATATCTTTCGAGGTTTTAGAGCCACAGGTAGTTTCCGTTTCAACTCCCTGGCTTTTCCTGCAGAAGCATTTGGGCCACCAAAAACTTCTGTTTTAGCTTCAGTCACAAGAGTTTTGCAAATACAAGTCAAACTCAAGATCAATGTCAAGAGATAAAAAATGTTGCATAAAGAAAGGGATTGCATCAGCTGAAAACATGACACTATCTACTGGTCAGCCAACCCAGGTTCAACAGAGCTCCTCGTCAGTCTCAGAACAATCTAATTAAAATTAGATCCTTTGATCCGCTCACCTAAGATCGCTAAACAAAGGATCTAACAACTGCGCGTTAGGGGTCACCTCAGCATGACCTTTTGAAAAAAATATACAGCCAATGAAAATTGGTATGTGACGTCATCATCCGACCAATGAGTAAGAGTGTTTTATACAGCTTCTAGCTTATACAAGCAAAATGGCTGCGCCCATACGTAAAGTTGAGAGAGAATTGGATATTAAATTAAAGAGCGAACAGGTGGAAATATTGCAAAGCCTTGTGGAAAAGAGGGACTGTATGGCAGTTTTACCAACAGGGTTTGGCAAATCATTGCCTTTTCAACTTCTCCCGCTTGTTCAGAAGGAGATGGGTCGTACCGGCATGGTTCTGGTGTGCTGCCCGCTTGTGTCTTTAATGAGAGACCAAGTGGATAGAACAAATACAATTAAAGGCTTGACAGCGGCATATAAAGGTATTTGGCTTTAATATTATTTTGTAATTATATATATTCATAAATAATGAAATGAGGGAGACGAGGACTAACTCGTCACTAACACTTTGAGGAAATTCCGGTTATTGCAAGTCGTGAAGTTGACACGCTCAAGATTCCTCACTGCTCAAAAGCCCTGCGTGCTAAGTAAAGCTTTGAACTTAAAGCCCTTCATTGATGTTTGGGAATGTTTTATATTTGTGCGAAAATGTAAAAATTCTCACATCAGACGTAAAACAATAAATAAACAGGTCCAGCACAATCTCTTGATTTAGCTATATAGCTTGAAATAGCTATATAGATTGATTTAGCTATTTAAAATAGCTTGATTTAGGTATTTCATCATACTTTTTTTCTAAATTTGTGTAATTTTTTCAGTAGGTATAAAAATTCTAACTTTAATGCAGTGATAGTTTGGAACTTTGAACTGTTCTGTAAACAATGCATGTGAAAATTGCTAATCAAAACACGTCTCTTTCATAGACTTTGCACTCAAAGTTCTAAAAGTTTTGGGGCTCTCTAAGGCAATTGATTCATGACCACACAGTTACTTCTGGAATGAAATTATAAAGGAGGTAAAGATAATTGATTGGTGATAATTCAGCACAATATGAAGCAATCATACTTATCCATGCCTCAATGCACACAAAGTGGTGTACAGTTACCCAAACAATGGAAATACATCTTTTGCTTAAAAGTGTTCAAAAGCTGCAATGTTAAAATTATCTTTCATTTGGGTTGCTTTTTTGAAAGTCCATAGTACAAATATGAGTAATCACAAACTTGCGACTTTTTGTCTATTTCTTTAAAAAACCATTTCTGTGAAAAAGTGCATATAAATAGCTTTATCAAGCTATTCTGAATAGCTTAATAAAGCTACATACCTATTTCAAGCTATATGGCTAAATCAAGAGATTGTGCTGGACCTGATAAACAAACCACAGTGACTCAGATGAGAGTTGAATCAATAAATATGCAAACATGGTAATTCATAATGTGCAAGCATTTTGTTTGAATTTGGCAGTTTACTCGATATAATTAGGTTCTGAAATAAAATATTCTATTTAATAGGTCAAACTCCTGATTTGGACAAGGAGATATTGGATGGGAAAATTGATGTTGTGTATGGGAGTCCCGAGTCATTACTGGGTGAATGGAGGGAACAGCTGCAACATCTTGATGTATCTGCTATTGTCATTGATGAATTTCATTTGATTTCCACATGGTAAGTAGTCAGTTAATATGTTTGATGGTGCGACCGTTGGAGCGAGGGCAGTTTTGTATATTTTAAAAACCATTTCTAGATCTGCCTCTTCAAACCACACAAGACTCATGAAGGTTAAAGGTCAGATGCACTCGGTCTAGACTGTGACGTCACATCATTTGTATGTTAATTTTGTTTCCTTTATGAGTGTAAAAAGTGAAAGTTTTTTTAATGGTGAGCATTTAATCTGTTTTATATCTGCAATTTCCATTAAAGCAAGACGAGTTTCTTTTTTTATTTGTGAATTTTTCCTTGGTTGTCGGAGAACGTAGTTTAGAAAACTGAAAGCGGTGCATTGTGGGTCCATAGGTACTGCGGAAAAAAATTCTATTGAATCAATGTGCAGCAGTCCAAATTTTCTCTTCCCTCAGGCATTGCTTTAGGAGCTCGCAGTGATGCTGCGCTCGCTATAATAAGAATTGTTGGTACAAGTAGAAGCAGTTCCAATACGCTTTTCATAAAATTTAAATAACTCTGAGTTACCTTCTTAATATTAAGAAATGGAAGAAGAAATCTTCCCTAACAATTTTCTTGAAATATTTTAGGGGAGATGATGATGCACAAAATGGGAAGAAAGCATTCCGACGGTGGTTTGGTGAGCTGGGAGAACTTAGATCCCTGTTCCCTAGTGCTCCTTTGTTGGCTCTGAGTGCGACATGTACACAGAAAATACAGAGACGAGTCATCAAAGCCTTAGCCTTGAATCATCACACATACGTGTATAAATCCCCTGACAAGAGGAACATCAAGTATAGTGTTAAAAAAGTTCCCGGTGACATTGATATGGCATGGACATGGTTAGTGGATGGTCTCATGGAACTGGGAGCTTTGTTTCCAAAAACACTTATATACTGTAAGTCCATTAGTGATGTAGCGAAGATCTATGACTACATAAATGATGAGGTGTCCAAAGAATTTGAGTCATTCATTGGTATGTTTCACTCTGAGACGGAGAGTTCTATAAAGGAAAGAATATTGTTATCTATCAGGGATGAGCAGAGCCTACTGAGGATCATCATATCCACAAATGCAATGGGTATGGGAGTGGACTTTAAGGGTCTGTCTAACATTGTTTTATATGGCCCACCTTGTTCAATGCTCGATCTCGTTCAAGAAATTGGACGTGCAGGGAGGGGGGGTGAGAAGTCTATAGCCGTACTTATGTACAACTCTCATCACCTGCAACAGTGTGACTCTGACGTGAAGAGACTTTATAAAGAGAACACATGCAGAAGAATTCTGATGATGGAACCATTTCTCAGAGAGAATGATCTGGATGATCTCAAATCCAGCACTGGAGACTGTACCTGCTGTGATATTTGCCAAGAGAGCTGTTCGTGTGGAAGTTGTGCTCTTCTGCCATTTGAAAAACTGTGTGTGGGAAATACAGATTCAGGACACGATACTGAAGACTCAGACAGTACTGAAGATCTCTCTGATTTTGATTTTGATGATTTGAATTTAATTCCTTGATCAAGTTCATATATATAGTTGTAAAACTTGCTTGTTGTGTTCCTGTAATTGTGTATCATCAGATTGCTTACAAAAGATTTGCGCACCGGGTTTCAATAACTTTTACCATCTCTGAGACCTATGAGATGCTAATGATTTCCTCTGAGATCTTTAGCTAATAAACATTTGTGTACTATTGATTTGCCTTTGCTGTGAATTTTATAACCAAACTTTATAAAATTTCAACAATCTTCTTAATCTGAACGTTGTTTGTTATACTTTTTAGCAGAAACTTAAAATGTACAAATTCGAAAATATCAATATTACATGTACAATGTATACTGTGAAAAATTGGCTTTTGGAAACAAACCAGGTGAAAATGATTTTCAGTATACCTGCCGGGGGGGGGGATTTTAATACTGTATACAGTAATAAATAAGTAGAAGTCATGCATCATTAAATGTATCACAATTTATCTAGTTTCAGATGGTATAACTTTAACAGTCTGTCACCAAATAAATACAAAATCGTATTTGCATACAGAGAATTTTACAACTCTAAACTTCTTATGAGTGAATAAATGGTATTTCAGACTTTCTTAAATTATTAGAAATTCCACAGAAAATACACATTGTGTAATATATATAACTTTAAATTATAGCATACATGCACGTCTCTTAAAATTTTGAAAATTGCACTTTTGGATATGCACAACATGTACAATGAAGACTGCTTGTAAAAGAAATGGACATGTATAGCAAAGTGTTAATTTTATTCAAAAAGGGAATTATACCTGATGAATAAATATCATGAAAAGCATTCAAATATTAACATTTAAAATGTCCATTGAATATTGAAATCAGATTTTAAAATCGACAATCTCTAAGTCGCCCAAATGGTGACGATGGTTTATGCCGGTGAAGCAATGTTGACAGGTCTCGTGAACAGTTCAAAAACGGATTTCTATCTAATCCAGGCAGCTTCTTGCTTAACTTCCTATTTACATCTCGAATTAGAAAGTTATGGTCTAACAAATCTTTGACAACCTTCTGAACATCTAAAAGGTAAGAGGGATGGTGATGAAATCCTTTTCTGTTTCCAAATTCACTTGCCTGCTCAAACTGGTTTGTAAGCTGGATAAGTAATGGATACTCCTTTGAATGCCTTAAAATGCTTTCCTTGGTCTGATGGCCTGTGCATGCAGCCTTACTGTCACGATTTAGCATTTCAATATACTCGTCTAGTGAAATGTTGTTATTCTTTCCTCCCTGAAGATTTACATATCTGTTAACTATGAAACGCTCTTCTTGGTCTGGAGTCAAAAGTCCTGATGCCATTGCTGTTGTATGTATGGAGGAGATGGAATATTTAATCTTCTGGGTTTTATGGTAAAGTGGAAGCTCGTACTTAGCCGAACGGACACATCGACCACCATCCCCCATATCAACGCCATCATCAAAATTTTTATGAAGCATGACCAGCTTGAATAGCATCAAAACATAGTCTTGAACCTCATCACTCTGTACATGTTTTCCTTTTTTCATTCTGCTCAATGAAACACCATGTTTTTCTGACTCATGGGCCTTTAGAGAGCTAACTCTTTTGTAATCCTTATCACAGTGATGACACTTAAAGCGTCCATTGTTAAATGTTGCTGTCCAGTAGTTTTTTTGTGCATCCTGTAAATCATTTCTTATTTCCTCCATCACATCTTCTTTGTCATCAAAGAACCATTTTACAATAATCTCTTCACACAAGTCATTCAGCCACTGAATCTTATCACAAGATGACAATTCTGAAAGGTTTGGTAGAGATATATTGGCTATATCTACAGACCCCATCTTGTCTAGGAACAGAACAACACAAATAGCATCGAGAACTGTGTAATATAGCATCTTATATGCTCTATATGCATTCTTAACTTTTCCCTTTGCATTTCTATGCCCTAGTAGGTTTCTGTAATAATGCATTGTGCATGGTTCCCCTGCTAGGTCAGAACTGTAGGTTAACTTGAAAATTGCCTGAAAAATATACAATAATTTATCATATCCATGATCAACCTTGAAGTATTTTTTTTCATGCATCTGCCATGTTGGTTACTGTTTTAGTTACATTTGTACATGTACGAATCTGACAGGATTTTATGAAATGCCACTTACTTCAAGAAAATTCATCAGTCGATGAAAATCTTCACTTTTGGAGATGAATCCCTCTAATCTACCTTTCGACGTTAATGAATCTTTGAGGGCAACTTGTGCACATTGAACTCTCTCGTCAGTTAGACGGTCACCTTAAAGAAAAAATTCTATAGAGGCATGAATTTTATTAAGTTTCCACAAGAATCATTTTTTTTTATCATTTCCTTTTCATATCAGTTTTGATGGTGTTTACCACTGATGTTTTTATTTGTGAATAAACTTTATTTATGACAAATATTGTAATGCTACATTCCATTATCTTTAAGATGTAAAGTTACATTAATTGTGGCTAACATTACCTCCAAAAAAAACGGCATCAACAACTTCTTCATTTTCAGTTGGGACATACTGATCAGTAAGAAATTTAAGAAGGCGAATCATTTCATCCGTTTTATTTTCATTGGTATCAAAAAGTCCAAGAGAATACTACAAAATAATGACAAAAATCTAATTATTGTTTATTTGTAATTGAAAAAGAATGATCCATTGGCAATTCAGTTACCATATAAAGTACACTTCTTTAAAATATCCATGTTTAAAAGCTAGTACCTGTGTTGTTTTTATCCCAGCACAATGGCTATGTTTGTGCTCTAAATGTTTTGGATATATTGCGTTGAAGCACTTGGCAACTTTAGGAACATTTCTGATGATGGCCGATGCAAAGATGAATTTCAGCTCTTTTAGGAGTAGCTTTTGCTATGAGATAGAAGGGATGTAAGTGAGATTGTCTTGGAATCCGTCTGACCCAAGTGGATTTCTGGGAGTGTATCGGTCAACAATAGCATAGACTTGAAATAAATGAAGACTCTGGGTTTTTCTCTCTGTTGTGCGATAGGAGGGAAGAATCTCCTTGTCCCAATTGTCACCTACGAGTTGATACTTAGCTAAAGGTTCTTCCTTCTTTTTCCATTTCATCTACATTCAGAAAAGCAAAATTTTCATTCCCCATTACAAACAAGAGGCCCATGGGCCACATCACTCACCTGAGTCACTATGGCCCTACTGTTCTTCAGCAGCATATTTTTTCCCTATATATTCCTATGTAAAACTTTGATCTCCTATTGTGGCCCCACTCTACCCCTAAGGTTCTTGATTTGAACAAACTTGTAATGAAGCTTTCACATAAATTTCAACTCTTCTGGTCCAGTGGTTCTTGAGAAGATTTTTCAAGATTTCTTCCTATATATTCCTATGATCGCCCACTGTGGCCCCACCCTACCCCTGTGGGTCATGATTTGAGCAAACTTGAATCTACACTACCTGAGGATGCTTCCACAAAAGTTTCATATTTTCTAGCTCAGTGGTTCTTGAGAAGAAGATTTTTAAAAGATGCCATTAATTTTTCACTAATTCTTAATTATCTCCCCTTGGAAGAGGGTGTGACCTTTCATTTGAACAATTTGAATCCCCTTCACCCAAGGATACTTTGTGGCAAGTTTGGTTGAAATTGGCCCAGTGGTTCTGGAGAAGAAGTCGAAAATGTGAAAAGTTTACAGATGGACAAAATGTGATCAGAAAAGATCACTTGAGCCTTCCGCTCAGGTGAGCTAAAAACAATAGCAATAGTAATAAAGCTTACTAAAAACAATAACTCAGAGAATCTCAATATACATGTACAGTATACCCTTTTGCTTAAGCTTATGTGTCACATAAGTTTCACGAGGGAAACATTTTGTGTTTCACTTATAAACAAACATGTTTCTTAAACTGAGTGTTAACAGTTTAAACATGAGTTAAACACTTATATGTATGTTAATCATATGTTTAATTTTCTAATTTTTTGTATATAAAAAAATATAATTATATTTACCTTTTAAAACTGAGTGTGAATTACCTTTAGGACTTTAAGTTCTTCATCTAACTTGTCCTTCCAGCTAGTAAGTTTGTTTTGGAGTGTTTGTGGGTGAACACATAATCCAGTCTTGCAAAGTATTTCAATGGTCTGACATGAAAAAAAAAAATGGATGCATATTAAGATAAATTTCATTTAATTTCATAATAATCATTAAATATACTAGATAAAATCTAATTTTCAATACAATAACATAATTATGGTTCTTCAAAGTACACAGGGCATTCAAATTTGAAAGAATTCTAATTTACATGTATTTCTTTCAACTTTAAAAATTCATGCATTAATATCTAAATATAATATGGTGATACTTACCCTTAAAGTACATCCACCACGAGCAAGGAGAAATGCTAATATATACTGAAAGGCAGACATTTCTTGACTCCTGCCATGCAACAGTAAAGCACTGGCAAACATGATATGAAAGAAAGATTTGCTTAAACTAACTGGTGGCGGGTTTTGTACAGTTGATGAAATAACTGACATAGTATGAGGACATCTTTCCTGGAGATCTTCGTGAAAAGTATCCCATTTAAAGCTTAAGAAATGTTCAAAGTCTTTACTTTGGAGACATGCACCAGAACCTCGATGACATGCCTTACTACATTCCTCTTCAACAACTTTGGAAATCCCCTTCACCAAAGCATTTGGATTTGTCTGACTAAGTGTATTAACAATAGACATGTCCACTCCACCTTCATTGTCAACCATGGCCTTGCAAATCACTTTGTGTGAATCAGAGGTGACTAGAACAGATTTCCTTCCACTGGGATAATTGATCGACACCTATAGAAAAATGTACATAGTATTAAAGGCATAACTTGTATATCACTTCATTAAGACATATGAAAAGATTACTGGCTTTAGTTGTATTTTTTTTTCTTTTTTAATCCGACATCAGTATTTACACAAATTAAACTCAGTTTCTTTAATATTCAATATCAGATAATTTTTTGTACTTTCATATTTTGTGTTTTCATAATGCTTGGCATTGACAAGTTTTTTAGCTGAAATTCCTGTAATAAAAATATCTTAGGTTATAAAATAAGATCATCATACCTTTAATTTAGTAATTGTTGGAAAAATCATAAATAGAACAACAGTCAACATTTAACTTCAATCATGTATATTTTTCTGAAAACAAGAACAGAAATTAACAAACAAATCGAACAAACTTGTAACTCGAAATATGAAACCAAAGCACTTAAAGGTATAAAATATATTAGTAAAAGTATAATTCAAAATAAACATCAATAAAATGTAACAATTAGTTCCTTCATTAAAAGATCTAAAATGCAGAAGAATAAGATAGCCCTGTTCTTTTCTTATTGTTATTTTTAAATTTTTTATTAAACTAAAGAATGAACTAATTATATATCACATCAAAATACATGAAAATTATAACATCATCAGAAAGTGCTTCAACCTCAACAGTGCCATCTAAGAGTGGTTTTACTGAAATGAATACAGGCATCTTTTGAATAATTTGGATAATTTAAACTTTTGTTCATCAGCAGACATGCAATCTTGATGCATGGATATGTCTTGTAAGTTATACAAGATAATCATCATTTTATTTTCACTTGTTTAATATAATTAAATTGTAATCAACATTGTGCAATACGTACCTAACTCCTTGGAATGAATAAGTTTACTAGGTGGAATATCTTCAGGAATCTATAAATTAATGCAAAATTCTTTCAATTTAAATATACACTGTACCCCCAATATACACCAATACAGCAGAAGTGTGCAAGACACATTATACATGTACATTGCATACAAACTTATATGCTTTACAGATACATGATGTAGTACATATTGTATCATTAAAATGTCAATTGTCCAACAGACCATGATTTTTTTAGTATGACATTATAAAATTTTTTTTATATCTTTTTACAAACCAGACATGCATGAAAGGCATTAAGGAGGTTGGATCCTGCTATAAAAAGTCTTAAGATTTTTTTTGTCAAGTATATTTTTAGTATCTACACACATAGCTTAATTAAAAATCATCATCATTTTCTTTCTAAAAAAACCTTCTGCCACAAGATATAGTTCCTCAGTTAATGTGTTTAGTTTGGAATTTAATTGTGGGATTTTAATTGAATATAGTTTAATTGGCATAGAAGAATCCAAATTTATTGTAAGAACTAAACTATGATGCAGAATTTTAGAAGTAGAGGTCCAAACAAAAATCTGTTCAAAAGCACAGGATCGAACCTTCTTAAGTATAATATCTTTTTTATTCACCCCTACTACAACTAGACAATCCCCTAGCTTTCTTTGATGTTGGGTTACTGAACAGACTGAGGAATCCTGTTGCATCTCTGAAATAAAATGATCCTCAGAAATATCATTCACAAAGATGTTGATATATACATGTCATTAAAACTAAGCACTAGTTTTCTCAATTTTCAGTATTTTTGATTATCATTAATAAATAATATTACCTTCTTTGGAATTTTGAACTGTACGAACATCATCAACAAACTTTAGGGACTTCCTTGCTGGCTTGATGTCTGTGTACTTGTGACCTTAAAAACATGTTTTAAACAATCACAATGTGCATGTACCAGTGCAAACACTGGTGTACATACCTGCACTAGCCTATATACATGTATATACAAGTGGAATCTATTCATTTTTTTAGTTCACTTTACAATGAAATATTTATCAAATTATGTAAAAGTTACAACATACCTGTGTGAATTGGTTGAGTGACATTATGGTGTGTATTGGTAATGTCTGCCCTGCATGTGTTCTTCAGTTCTGGTGCAGACACCTGCATATGGAATACTTTTGACTTAGAGTTTAGAGCATTTCATTCGACAAAAATAAAAAGTATATATGTTTATATATAACTTTAAATGTGTTTTTGATATATTTTCCAACTCAAATATTTCAGAATGTATGTGATACTTTTTGTCATGTTTGTAAGAAATCTTATCAATTACAACACAGTAGTGTTCAGTAGTTTTACATGGCGAGTCTGATTATGCAATATAACGTGCAAACTTGAAGCATAAACACATAGGCTTTATTTGGGCTTTATTGTATCTGTGTAGAAGTGATCCCCCCCCCCCCAAAAAAAACAAACTAACCTCTGGTGATCGAAGCAGTCGTTTTTTCCTTGCTGTTGATCTTGGTGTTGTTTTCAACTTGTATCTCCTCATGCTTTCTTCAAAGTGTGATATAATGCCATCAATTTCCCGTCTATACTTAATTATTTTTTCAATCTTACCGAAACATTTCACACATACTCCTTCAGCACTTGAAGATATGGGTATCACTTGCTGAATCACATTTCGTTTTTCGTCTGTCATTTTTAATTTCAATCGGAATAATTTCTTGAACTGAACATTGCCCTCTTTATCTATCTCCTTCACAACAAAAGAAAAGCCACACAAACAACATATATTAGTCAGGCTGTACACCCTTTGTGGTGTTCTCGGCGAGGAGACTATGGCCGCCGCCATGTTGTTTTGCTTACTCGGATTTACCGGGACTCGTTAGAAAAGATACGTAAGTTCCGATAGAACCAAACCGTACCGAAGCTTTACTAGGCGACGTTCTGATTGGTCAACATCTTAGGTCATGCTGAGGTGACCCCTAACGCGCAGTTGTTAGATCCTTTGTTTAGCGATCTTAGGTGAGCGGATCAAAGGATCTAATTTTAATTAGATTGGTCTCAGAAGAAATTAAAAAATCACTTCTACTTCCCACAGTTGTTAAAGAACCTGTTGAAAAAAAACTAAAGAAGTGCTTGGTGCAAGATGTATAATAGAGAATGAATTCATCAATGGAACAAGACACAAGGAGGAAACAAGAGGCCCATTGGCCACATCGCTCACCTGAGCACTGGCTAAGAAAAAGTAGAAATTTATTTATTATTGAAAACTTTAAATCCAAAAGTAGTCCCATGACCAATCATGGCTTTGCTATTCTTGAGAAGATGATTTTTAAAGAATTTTTCTATATAAGTCTATGTAAAACTTTGATCGGCCATTGTGGTCCCGCCCTACCCCCGGGGGTCATGATTTGAACTCTTGAATCTACACTACCTGAGAATGCTTTCATATAAATATGACCAATAATGACTTTGCTGTTCTTGAGAAGAAGATTTTTAAAGAATTTTCGTATATATTTCTATGTAAAACTTTTATCGGCAATTTCGGCCCGCTCTACCCCTCCGGGGTCATGATTTGTACCAATTTGAATCTGCCCTACCTGAGGATGCTTCCATATAAATATGATCAATTATGGCTTTGAAATTATTGAGAAGAAGACTTTTAAAGAATTTTCATATTTATTTCTATGTAAAACTTTGGTCGGTCATTATGCCCCCGCCCTACCCCCGGGGGTCATAATTTGAACAAAATTGAATCTTCACTACCTGAGGATGTTTCCCATAAGTTTCATCTTTCCTGGCACAGTGGTTCTTGAGGAGAAGATTTTTAAAACATGCCACCAAATTTTCATTGATTCCCAATTATCTTCCCTTGAATGAGGGCGTGACCCTTCATTTGAACAAACTTAAAATCTGCTTCACCCAAGGATGCTTTGTGGAAAGTTTGGTTAGTTTGGCCCAGTGGTTCTTGAGAAGAAGTCGAAAATGTGAAAAGTTTACAGACAGACAGACGGACAAAATGTGATCAGCAAAGCTCACTTGAGCCTTCGGCTCAGGTGAGCTAAAAAAAAAGTAGGATTAGAAGGAAAAAGAAATCAGAAAAAAAGAACGTGAAGAAAAGAAACAAAAAACAAAGATATGGAAAAATTGAAGGAACAGCTTGACCCTACAAGTCAGAGAAGACTAAATCAAAGTTAAAAGCCACTCTAAGGGAAAATATCTCTTCTCATACTGTCACCAGTGAAGTACAGGATGCTGATAACTGCTGCTCCTACTGCGGGGGATACTATTACGACGATGATTCTGATGATGAGGACTGGATTAAGTGTACAAGATGTGATGGCTGGTACATCGAATCATGCCTTGTATGGTCGTCAGCTAGAATATTTTGTATGTGACAAGCACTGCTAATTTTTGTTCTTTATTTTGGTGTACCACTTTCTTATGTATTGCAGAATGTTTTGTGTGAAATACTTTAACAAATTGAATGTTTTGAGCCTTTGAAATATATATATCAATAATTTAATGCCATTAGATTTAGAAAAAAATATGCATATCAATATTTTTCAGAAAAGAAAAAGAGTAAATATAACAAACATTGTCAGATATCAAAGAATTAAGAGCCATTCTCTGTAATGATTTGAAATATTATATAGGAGCTGTGGCACGCATAGTCTCAGAATTTCTCCAAACTCTCTATGATAAAAGTCATTGATACTCTAAACTGAAATCAGGCAAAAATTGGTTGCTATGTTTTATAGTTACCATGGCAACAAGTGTTAAAGTTCGAAAAATGGCATTTTTTAACATGTTTAGAGCCCCATAGTGAACATTTGCGGCAAAGCAAACAATTGGCAATGACTGTTTCCAAAAGTTGAAGGTCAGATGTCTCAAATGCCTGATAAACATGCTTGGTAAATCAACTATTACATACGTTACTATGGTAACAAAGTATTCGAAAGTAAAAAAAAAATATTCATTGAATTTCATACACATAAAAATAAAAAGCAATTATAGGATGAAATGTGACCAAATAATGGAAAAAAGAGCCTTGAAACATATACCAAGAACAAAATATGATATTTCATTTTGGTTGACAATGGTTGCCAAGGTTTTTATACCACAGAGAGCCTTCAAAGTAACACTCTGTATGTTTAAATCTGATCCTATATTTTTAAAAAAGCACATTTCCTCATAACTAATGATCAATTTCATAAGATGTTGGTGTGCTCCAAGTTTTCCCATTTGAAAAAATTCAGATTAGATTCTTTAAATAGAGCGTTGCTATGGAAATAAGCAGAAAATATATGCTTAAAAACCTGAAAAATATTTTCTTTCCTTGGATACGTACCCTTAAATGTAGATTCCCAAAACTTTTATGATTGATATTTATTAACAGCTAACTTGACTTTTAATTTTGACTATCATCCAATCTCTAAGTGGATGCAAGAAGTTGGCACACAGGGTTTAATATTGATATAAAGTTCACAAAATCGAACATTTTCCCTTCTTAGTAACCATAGCAACAGTGCTGTTTTATTCATCAAATTTTATCAATATATGATATTCAACTTCAGTTCTAACAGATTAGTACTATTAAAGCTGAGTCCTTTAATTTGTTTCTTGATTAAATGGCAATTTAATTCTTAATGCAACAAAAAATAATTCACTTTTAAGCACTGGTACTTTGTTTTCATGGTAACACTGTAGAGTAGCAATTATACCCAATTTTCTTATGGTTTTGGTGTTGCAAGGTCCTAAGGATGCATATTTGCCAGTCTTGAATTTTCATGTTTTTCCTCAAGACAGTAGCATTAACCCAATCTTAGTTACTCGTTTTGCATGGTTACACTGTGTTACCATGGCAACAATAAAAGTTATTTATAGAATAATATTGCTTATACTTATATACTTAAGGTCAAACATTTTCATTGTTTTTCTTAAATCGTTGATTGAGTTTGAGCATGAAACACCTACCATTAGTAAATACGGAGTGTTTTTCAGCATATTTCAGCATTTTAAATGTATTCCAAATGTCCCCTTAGTTACCACCTACTTAGAGATATATTCTAAAAAGTTTCTTTACAGTATAAGTGACATCAAGGTGTCATGTTTTTGTGAGAATGGTTTGTTTGCTTTTTCTAGTTTTTATTAAGCCACAGTCAAGATTTAAAGTGGCTGAAAATCTCGATTTTTCAAACGTTTTCGGCTGTTGCCATAGCAACCGAGACACATAGCAACGAAATTTTATTTGATATTTGTTTCTGGTGTCAAGTACTAAGCATGGGTGAAGTTTCATCAAAATCGGTGACCATGCGTGGCAACAAAGTTTAAGTGGTTACCGAGAATGGCTATTAAATAATTTCAATTATGAAGAAAGAAAATTGAAAATAAATTAACTAATTTTAACTTTTTTGCACATGATTAAATCACAAAAAATGTTACTGTATAGTTAAAGATCATGTGTCCTGTAATTTCACATTTTTCATAACTTACCATTTACCCAGAAATATATGGGGTAAGTGAACACTTTTTAGAATTAATCTTCGAAGCCCATATTCTTCAATCCATTTGCATTAAATTGAAAAAAAAGATACATTACTAAGAGATTTTTGAACAATGAGTGTAATATACTACAAGAAAGATTGGTTTAGGTTAGAAGTTTTCAGACTCCAATTAAACCCTTAATGTGTCCACTTACCCCAAATGCCCCTACTTAAATCTTTTTCATTTCCGCTGCACGGAAAAATGGAGTACCATTGAGGATGTTACAAGATTCTAACTTAAATTTTGCAAGATTAGTAGAAGAAAACATACCTTAATGAAGTCAATTTACATTCTTCTCATTCTGCCTCTTTATTAAAAAAATAATGCAAACGCGGCATATTTATTGGCATTTTTAATACGTCACTGAGTATAACTGGTAGATGTAAACAACTGAGAGGTACTCAGTATATGCGGCAATTCGCAACTCTGAATTTATATGGCATTTATCGCATGTTAACTTCAGATATATAAAGGATATCTATATTGTGTGATTTGATATTGGCTTTATCCAACGAGTTGAAACGGTGTATAAATTCGCGAGGCTTGTCGAGCGAATAAACACCATTTCAACGAGTTGGATAAAGCCAATATCAAATTACACATTATAGATGTTCTACGTCATCAAGTTATACCCGGTACGTCAACAATATTTGTATAAATCATTCATGTAGTTTTACAGGGGAAGTCTCAAAGTTTTGTAAAAACGAAAGTCGTATGAGATAAATAGCACTGTTGATGTTGACATGCCTAGAAAGAAAGTAGATCATCTTCAAACTTTAGAAATTTTGCCATCTGCGTCTTTGAAAACATTATATGACAGTTGCTGGAGCTTTAATTTACATAAGGCGAACTTCTGACTAAACGTTGTAAGGACCGATGGATCATGAAAATTAACTATTTGTACGGTACCAGTATAAAACGTGCTAAACAAGGCAACTTGTAGATTTATTGTTGATCCATGGCAAGTTACACCTACATAACTAGGTAGGAATAAGAAGTATAATATAAGAGAGCATTGTTGAAGATGTTAAAGGAATCTTATAACAACAACTTAACAGCTAGGCTTTACTTCATCTGAATACGATTTAAAGGGGGGGGGGGGGTAACATCCCTCTCTAAGTAGCCATTAGAGCTGCTGTTCTTTGATAAAATACTAGTAACTTACGATACTTCTTTGACATATACGAGTTTTTTTCTTGCTTTTAATGACATTATTGCTCATTATCATTGATGTTCTAAGGGCAAGGATTTTTACAATAAAAAAATCTTGAAGCGAGGGATCGTGTCAAAACCGGAAGTGCTATTGATAAAGCATATACCCGTGGATAAAGCATAGGTTTATCCAACAGGCGGTATTATCCACACGTATAAGATAAAGATAGATTACTTATATGTGATAGGTTTAAATACCTAGATAGCTATATATGTGGATCACGT